CACCTACTCCTCCACCCGCTCCTCCACCCACTCCTCCACCCGCTCCTCCACCCACTCCTCCACCCACTCCTCCACCCACTCCTCCACCCGCTCCTCCACCCACTCCTCCACCCGCTCCTCTACCCACTCCTCCACACGCTCCTCCACACGCTGTACCACCAAACTTCTGTACTCCTGATTCCGCACCGCAGATTACGTCAGGCATGCGGCCGTACGGCTTCCTGGCGCCGGCACCCTTGAGCATGGACTTTCCCTTCCTGGATCCGTTGCGCCGCACCAGACCCGTGCTGCTGAGTCGCTTTGACTGCATGGACGGGCATGGTAACGACCAGGACGGCCCTCTCCCGGATCTCAGCTACTGCTGGGTACGACAACACCCTAGACTGATATGCATGTGCTGTTGAGCTGCTGCGGCGTCCGGCGGGCGGGCGGGCGAGCGGGCTTGGATCTGTCTCTATAGGGCGCGTCGGGTAGTGCTTTCGGAACGGGAGGGCCCGGGGCCACACGGCGCATGCCTATACACACACGTACAGCAGCAACACCGCCACACGGGGTGGGGTTTTCCAAATTCGTTAACCGATCCTGAATTCGGTCTTGAGCAGCACCCCACGCTCCCCACCCCGCCCACCCCACTACCCTCCCACAGGCGGCCTTTCCCTTTCCCTGACTCGTAACGGCCCCCCACCCTGTTGCGCTCTATCACAGGCAACCTTCGCCAAGCCGTACGGACGCGCGCTGTACGGAAAATGCTGGTACTCCGGATGGGCATCCTCGCTGCTGGTTTGCACAGGTGGGTGCGTGGCTACTACTACTGGCTGCTTAGAGGAGGTCTGCACAAGTTAGGGGGGCTGTCGCGCTATCGTGGAAGCCGGGGGGGAAGGGACAACGACCGTCAAATGTCATTATCTTGGCGCCAAGTGACGCTGGGCGAGTACGTCTGTGTTTTCTTTCGTGGTGCACAAACAGACCCTCGGGGAAAGGGAGAGTGGAAACCCAGCAGGCCCCCCCAGCGTCCCATCCAAGCCAGGGTTCAGCATCTAGAACAGAGGGAATTCACAGGGTGTGATGTGAGCTAACGAGTGCTGTAGAGGTAGGTGTGCTCTAAAAATCTGAACAGCGGAAAGTGCGGGTGTATAGGTGTGTGTATGTATGTATGTATATATAAAATATATGTAAGTCTACAAGAGCGAGGGAGCCGCGTTTACTGGTAATAAATAAAGCCGCCCCACGCCAGGGGCCCTGCTATCGTACTTCTGCACTGCCGTACTGTACGGAGGCGATCTTCCTCGCCACCCGCGCCATCGCCAAGCCCACCCAGGGCCTGGCGACCTCCATGCCCTTTAACCCTGGCCGGGCGCTTGCCGGCCACTGCCACAACCGACTCCAACTCCAAGGGGGCCCGACAGCAAACTCAGGGCCAAAGCGTAGAGCTGTTACATAACTCTTCTGTCTGTCTTTTTGCCATTAAAATATCATTCAGAAAATTATACAGACATATTAAGTGCACAGACATGATCCTGCAGAGATCAGGTTCCAAAAACGTTTTTCCAAGAGATTTATGTCTTTGCTTGCTTGCTTGGTGCCTTTTCCCCAGAATCCTTTCTGCTCGCATCGATTGAACTCGCCTTCCAGACCTCCACCACCTCCCCCTGGTCTTTATTAGATTTCTTCACGCAGATGCAAGGTGTGAGGTGAAAGGTTTAAGGTGGGGTGGGATGGGGTGGATGGTTACTTCCCTCGCCGCAGATAAGGACTTCAACTATGACCCGGAGGTGGTGAGCGTTCGGCTGGAGGGGGGTCCATACCCGTGGGTCGGTCGGCTGGAGGTGCTGATGCGAGACGACCTGCATCGCGGCTGGGGCACTGTGTGCGACGACGGCTCCTTCACCTTGAAGCAGGCCCAGGTGGGGTGAGGGTTTGTATGTGGGGAAAGCGGGGAGAGAGGGGAGTGAGAAGGGGACGGTGTGAGGGGGAGGGAAGGAGCCGGGGGGAAAGGGGGAAATCCGCGGGCTGCCCGTCCACGCGAAACACAACCCCCCTTCCTCTTCGGCTATTTCCCCCTCCCACCTGCGCGCCGCCTCCTTCTGGGTTCCTGCCTTAACGTGTCTGGTGCCTGAGTGCCTGACATGTCTGAGTCGCCTGCGCCTTTTCCCCTCTCCTCCCTCTCCTCCTCTCCCGCATCTCCCAACTTCTGCTGATTCTCACGTACGTGGCTGATATTGCGGTAATGCAAGTTATTTCCCCTCCTCCCTCCTCTTCCTCCACTTCCCTCCTCTTCCTTCTCCTCCCTCCCCCCCCCCTCGTCCTCCCTCCCTCCTCCTCCCTCCTGCTCCCTCCGCCCCTCCTCCGCAAGGGTCCTTTCCTCTCACCCTGCCCTCCCTCTGCTCGCTATCCCCTCAGGCCGTCTGTCGTGACCTGGGCTTCGATGCAGCCGCTGCTCAGGTCCTCCAGCCCTCCGCCGCCAACCCCGCCACTCCGGCACTCCCCGTGCTCATGACGGATCTAAACTGCCAGTTAAACGTCCTGGCGCATGAAGGCCAGAATACGGGACAAGACCCGCAGCTGTCCTTCATCAGGGATTGTACGCGCTCGTCCAAGTTCGTACCGGGTGACTGTCCTCCGGACCAGCACGTGGTGGTGTCGTGCGGGGCCACAGGTGGGGGGGAAGAGGGGGAGGGGGAAGCGGGGTTTTGTTTACCGCTATCTGGGGTGGTTCAGGGATGGCCGTTGCCGGGGGCTCCGAGTGTTGAGAAGGCCCGGATGTAGGGTTTCATACGCACATCCGGAACACCTTTCCCCCAAAAAACACAAACCGCAGACACATCGGTTTTTCCGGGTGAGACACGCGCGTGTGTGTGCACAACATAACGGAACCGCCATCGACACCACCGCACAACCTGATTGCCCCCGCCATGAAGACCCCCCAGGGACCCAGATGGGGCTGGGGTGATGCAGTGTGCTGTGCGGCGTGCTGTGCTGCCACCCAGGGCGAGGGGAAGGGGGGAGGGTGGCGGCAGATGACGCACGCCCATACCCTCTCACTCCCGTGCTTACTGACTAAGTGCCCCAGAACATCACCTCCACCCGCTTCCTCACTCACTCACTCACGCACTCCCTCGCCGCGCTGTCTTGACAGGGTTTCCATCCATGCCGCCGCCGCCGCCACCGCCGCCGCCGCCACCGCCCCGTAAGTATCCCCGTAGGCACGCTGCCTGTGTGATGTACGGCACCCAAGAGTTTTCAACTTAGGTTTTAGGGAGGCAGTTGGAGTGCTCGTTGCGGCGGCCTTGTGCCGCATGGTGATGTCTAGCCTACCGGGGTGGGTGCTGGCAGAGATCCCCCCATTTCCCCCCATTTGGGGCTTATAGCATTTGGGGGCTTATGACTGGGCCTTATGAACATCATAAAAACATTCACACGTACCGAGGTCCTCAGGCAAATGTTATCACCACCACCACCACCACCACCGCCATCACCATCACCACCACCACCACCACCACCACCACCACCACCACCACCACCACCACCACCACCACCATCACCACCACCACCACCACCACCACCATCACCACCACCAC